GTAGAGGTAGGTAGAGGGGAAGAAAACTTCAGTGCACTTTTTAAATTATTATGGACAATTCGAGCATTTTCCCCCTAAGAAATATATGTAAAACATGGAAATAATGAGGTAAAGATGAGTTCTTATATGTGCAGTTTGTGAAGTATTTAGGCCAAAGTAAATGACTTGACAATGGCTCTAGTAAGAACATTGTTTCCATGCATAATTATGTTTATTGCTAAGAGTCATACAAAGTAATCTAAAATACACAATTGTTTTCCTCTTTTGCTTGAAAAGTGTGTCAGCCATGGGTGATATATCATTTGAGAAACACCTATAGCACAACCCTGCATGTCAAAGACAACTTGAAAGTGTATAGGAGCAAACAGGCAGATATAATTAATATAAACTAATATGATTAGTACAAAATATGTGTGTCACATGCAGACTGAAGCCTGTTTTGTTTGGCTAGACATTTCTTTGCAAAAAACTGAAAGCTAAAAATGAGACTATCTGACAGTAGCTGCTTAACCTGTCTTCATACAGATAGTCACTAGATCTGCCGCCTTTCATTCAGTTCAGTCGCTCAGTTGTGTCCGACTCTGCAACCCCATGGACTGCAGCACGCCAGGCTTCCCTGTCCATCACCTACTCCTGGAGCTTACTCAAACTCATGTCCATGGAGTTGGTGATGCCATCCAACCATCTCATCCTCTGTTGTTCCCTTCTCCTCCCACCTTCAGTCTTTCCCAGCATCAGGGTCTTTTCCAATGAGTCAACTCTTCGCATGAGGTGGCCAAAGTATTGGAGTTTCAGCTTCAGCATCAGTCCTTACAATGAATATTCAGGACTGATTTCCTTTAGGACGGACTGGTTGGATCTCCTTGCATTCCAAGGGACTCTCAAGAGTCTTCTCCAACACCACAGTTCAAAAGCATCAATTCTCCAACACCACAGTTCAAAAGCATCACTCAGCTTTCTTTATAGTCCAACTCTCACATTCATATATGACTACTGGAAAAACTATAGCTTTGACTAGATGGACCTTTGTTGGCAAAGTAATGTCTCTGCTTTGCTATCTAGGTTGGTTTTAACTTTTCTTCCAAGGAGCAAGCATCTTTTAATTTCATGGCTACAATCACCATCTGCAGTGATTTTGGAGCCCCCCAAAATAAAGTCCCTCACTGTTTCCACTGTTTCCCCATCCATTTTCCATGAATTGATGGGACCAGAAGCCATCATTTTAGTTTCTGAATGTTGAGTTTTAAGCCAACTTTTTGACTCTTCTTTTTCACTTTCATCAAGAGGCTCTTTAGTTCTTCTTTGCTTTCTGCCATAAGGGTGGTGTCATCTACATCTCTGAGGTTATTGATATTTCTCCTGGCAATCTTGATTCTAGCTTGTGCTTCATCCAGCCTAGTGTTTCTCATGATGTACTCTGCATATAAGTTAAATAAGCAGGGTGACAATATACAGCCTTGACAGACTCCTTTTCCTATTTGTAACCAGTCTGTTATTCCATGTCCAGTTCTAACTGTTGCTTCCTGACCTGCATAGAGATTTCCCAAGAGGTAGGTGAGGTGGTCTGGTATCCCCATCTCTTAAGAATTTTTCACAGTTTGTTGTGATCCACACAGTCAAAGGCTTTGGCATAGTCAATAAAGCAGAAATAGATGTTTTTCTGGAACTCTGTTGCTTTTTCAGTGATCCAGCGGATGTTGGCAACTTGATCTCTGGTTCCTCTGCCTTTTCTGAATCCAGCTTGAACATCTGGAAGTTCACGGTTCTCGTACTGTTGAAGCCTGGCTTGGAGAAATTTGAGCATTACTTTGCTAGTGTGTGAGATGAGTGCAGTTGTGTGGTAGTTTGAGCATTCTTTGGCATTGCCTTTCTTTGGGATTGGAATAAAAACTGTCTTCATAGAGATAGTCACTGGAGCTGCCCCCTTCAGATGGACATATACTGTTCAGCTTGTTGCTGCTCTCCTCATTACATGTACATCATAGTCAGCAGTTAAGTTAAACTCAAGGATTTTACCTACTTTCATAGGAATGGATCAAAGGAAAATTGGTGCTCTTTTCCCTTGCGGTTAGGAATCCATTTACTGGTAATGGTGGCCCACTATCTGGATCTAATAAGTGATATTAAACAATAGTATTTGTTCTTATCACACTTTTCTGTCAGTTGAGATTCTTGAACTGTAGTTTGGGCATGTCTGTTTTATATGTCCAGGTAACTTCAGAACATGAGGTGAAGATAGTTTTAGTAGTGAGACCAAACTTATTTAAATATATATTCAATACTTGTAATAGGAAATCACCTCTGCCGCAAATTGGTGGATAATAATTAGTTTTAAAGCTTTTACTTCTGAAGTAACAAGAGTTGCTCAGGATTACAAATTAAATGATTGTGAGAAAGACAGGATTTTACCGTCTATTTATGGAAACAAGAAACACTTTCTGAAATTTTTTTAAAAAAATTTGAGTGTGTATTAAGCTGTGATGTAAAATGGAATTATTTGAAGGTAAAATTAAGGAGAAATCTTAGTATATTTTGTATTATGCAGAAATTTAGCCCTTTACTGCCTTGCTTGTCAATAAAATTTATTTCGGTGTGTTTTTAGCTCAGAATGGTAATGAGTGGTTTTGCACTAAAATCTCCACCAGAGGAGAAAGAAGTATGCTTCTGGGCTGCTTTAGTAAACAGGAGCTCTCCGCGGTTTGTTTCATCTTTAAGGTTTTGCCCTTGGGTGACTTTAGTGTCAGAGATCGCCTATGAAAACTGTTGATGATTCTCTTTCCTTAAGGTCCATGTACAGATGTGCACAGGGATCAGATCTGGCGTGCCTGCTCTGATTTTCAGTGCCCTTTTCCCCCCCAGTGACCACATTAAGCCTGAATCTTTACCATCTGAGACATCAGGGTATTTTAGGGTAAAGTTTAGGTTAACATCTTTGAAAAAAGAGGCGTCTTTTCTTCATTTAAGCTAAAGAGTTAAACTTTGAATATTTTTTAAGATTATTTCCAGTTTATCTGACATCCTGTAGTCTTTTAATTCTAAAGAGTTGCCATTTTAGAAGATGAAGTATTTTATTAGTCATTGTATTTCATTTCCCCACTCTAGGAATTTTGAAAGCTGTGTTTTTGTAACTATTCAGTCAGCGTTTACTTAGCACCCATATCCCTCTATATACTTTTGCTTCCTAAAATTGGTCTCAACCTATACTGACCTCTCATCTCTTCCTCATTTTCCAATGGGAATGTCCCAGAATGTGTTTTATCATTTTTACTTCGTGGAGGTGCCCTTTCTCTGCATTCTTTTCCATTCCCCAGCCACTTTGAGCACCTATAACATTTTGTTTATAGTTATTTTGGCCTTGTATGGTAGCTATTTATGTGTTATGTTATGCTTTATATAAGACTGTAAATGCCTTAAAGGAAGATATTTATTTTTCTTCATCTTACTTATTACTGGTTCACATGTATAGTTCTTTTCATATAAATCAGGGGTTAATTAATATTTGTAGAACTAAATTTGTAAGATGGTTAGTGCCAGATACAGTCAGTGGCTGTGAATGGTGAAAAATTATCAGGGTAATCAGGAGTGGACTTACTCATTCTGAATTAAAGCAGTGTTTCAGCCATCTATGCTGCCAGCAAGCATTTGTATTCCATGGTCACTCATGTACAATTTATTCCAGCTTCCTAACCATTTATTCTTAGTGACACATCTAAATACTTAATGCTTTTTTTTTTCTCTCTCTGTAAACCACTTAACTCCTGGCCTTCATTCATCATTGTAGTTTAGCACTGCCTTAAGCTTTTAATAGTATCTAATTTTTTAAAACACATTCTTGCTTTTATTTTTATATACTTCCCTTTCTTTTACCTCCTTGATCTTATTCACAGGCTTATCAGCTTTAATTTTCTGTTGCTTTTTGTACTCTCCTATTTATATTTCTTTTTGCTTGCTCTTTTACTTTTGAGAAATTCATCCTTTATTTCTTAAAGGCAAATGTTCTTTGATTACTGTCTTCAGGTAAAGGTGTCTTAGAATCAGCTTAAGGGTGGGAGTTGATGGTGGAAATGCTGACCATCAACTCTGCAAGAGCCAAAGCTAGCTTCGTCAGACTCGCACTCCTCTATCTTTTCAGTGGGAGAATATCTGTGGTGGCAGTGCCAGCACCAGAGTATCTAATACTGATTACAAAAGGTGCCAGATGTTAATGGGCATTTTTACAGGTGGACTTTTGTGGGGAGATGATACGTGGATTGTAGAGTTATCAAAGAATTTCAAAATGGTTGTGTTGCGTGTGGGTGAATTGGTAGAGATGATTCTCACCCAGCCTTTGGATTCAATAATTTTTCACCCTTCAGTTAATTATTGCTGCAGAATGAATGGTTGGTTTGGACTGAATAAAAGAACAAAGGGCAATAAGACAATGAGTAAAAAACTGAAAAGAGACAGGAAAAGTAAAAGATGTAAGGTAAAAAGTTGCCTAACTTTGTGCCACTTGGAATCAATAGTGTTTATTGAAAGATTCTTAGGAACATTATGTTAGACAAATGGGAGTTGAAAAGATAATGTGAGAAAATATCTGAGAGGGAAGTTTTGTTTTAAATTTAAAACTATGCTGTTTTTAGTTCTATTTTTATAGCACATCTAAATTTCTTAAGAGTTTACTCTGTAACTAAATATTTAAGTTGGATATTTTATTTGTGTAATAGTGAAGAGGAGCTCTTTGATTCCTTAAGAAGCATATTGATGTTTAAATAGCTTTTCTTAGAAAGCATATGGATACTTTTATTAACACAATATCCCTTTAAAGACATAAAAGAGGAAAAATATGCATTCTCCATCCTGTTCTATCAGAGATGGTAAACAGGGAGTATCCAGGACTCTCTGGTATTTGTAGTAGAAACATTTTATAGTAGAGAACAAAACTACTTGTAGACTTAAGAAAATAATTTTGGTTAACTTTGATTTTAGAAAATATTAAGCCAAATTTTTTATTTTAACAGGTATCTTTCAGATGAAGGCATTGAAGCTTGCACAAGTTCTCCTGACAAAGTCAATGTAAATGACATCATCCTGATTGCTCTCAATGTAGGTTTTACTTATTAACTTATAAACATTTAAAATCTGGAAGCTATTTTTATGAAAAATATCTCATAGAATAAACTGGATTTTATAAAGTGGAGAACACCTTTCATTTTTATTGTGCATTTTAAGTTGCAGCAATGTTTGTTGAATTTGGTAATCTCATATAAGCCAATTATTAGAAATATATATTTCTTTAATGTCTATTATATGGGATTAGTGAAAAAGGGGAAAGTGCAATTAAAATTTTTTCACCTTGTGATCAATTACAGAATTTCATTACATTTATAGTAGCTATATAATAGCAGTAAAAACTGATCATATTTATAGAAACAAATTGACATTTAATTTACATAGAAACTAGCTAGGTTACAGCTTCTTGACAGTTGTATTTTTTATTTTGAAGTAACTTTTCCTGTTGATAAAAGTAGGATATACTGTGCAGTATGACTACTTAAGTAAATACAGAAAAATAAAATAAGAAAGCCCAATAATTACTGTTAATGTTTTGATGCATTTTTCTTCCCTACTTCTCTCCCTTTACCCATCTGTATAGCATTGTTTTTTTTATAATTGAGATTGATTTTTAGATTTTTTTTGAAGAGTTATAAAAATTGTTTGAAGAACAGATGTGACTAAATGAATATTCTCTTTTCAGTCTTGTGGTTACCCCAGTGGGAATTTTTTTCTTATTACCTTTACAATCATAGTCTATTAAACAATGAAATTTACATGCTATGATGTATAATCAATGAAATTCAGAAGAGAATTACTGTCTGACAAATCCATTATGTCACTGCAAAGTAGGTTTAGCATAAAGCAGAAAGGGAGGGCAACTGATAACAATATATGAAATATAAATAAATATATAACTATAACTTTTTCCTTTTTGATTACTTATATTTATATAATTAAATGAATTTAAACATAGAATTTATATTTTGAAATTTATCATTTTTTTAGCTGCTTGCAATTTTGTTCAGTAAGACAAACAAGTTTTTTAGAAATTATGTGTGTTATCCATGACTGCAAATGGGAATATTTGCTGGACATTTTATCTTTCCTTGACTCGCACCCAAATTAGTGAATTTTATTTTCAAGAAATGTTACAAAGAATCCCAGTTTCTTTCTTTGTTCACTAAAAGCAAAAGACCTAAATAGGAAAAAGCCTTTGTGACAATCTTCTCTTCTTATTGATATTTATATATGTAGGTAAATAGCATTGAACTATCTACAAATTGGGTAAGAAACTAAATAAAATAAGTCAACACAAGATATTTAACCTGGTATACATAAGAGGTACATGATGATTATTATCTTAGTGAATTAACTTGTCTTTATAATTTTCTTTAAAATATATAAATACTCCAGTCCAAAGCTATCCTGCCATGTAATAGAATTAAATAAATACTTTTAGAAGGATGACGTCTATACCAGACAAGTAGTCTAATTTTCAAGTTCATAAACTTTAAGTAAAATCAGGAGCATACAGTATTCCTGTTGAAATTTTTTAGCTTTTGAGTGATTGCAGGATGTTAATCCCTAATTGAGAAAGACTTGCATTATTAATTCTTATATATAACTTATTACATATTGGGAGAATAATCCATGCACAAGCTTTCTTATATTCTCTTCCTCTTGTGGGGAACACACTAAATTTGTTCTTTTATCTAGCAGTGAACAAAGCAAAATAGTATGTATGTAGAGTGTTTCCTGCCCAGGAAAGTCCAATAGGCTTTTACTGGGCTGTTCAAAAAGGTACTCTCTGCCTAGAATGAAACAAGATTCTAGGCTTCTCCCCTCAAGCAGGTGTTTACCATAAATCACATTGTTAATACAAATAATTTAGGCAGTGAACCACATTTTCAGTTAGGGAATGGTTCTGGTACCAAGTTCCCAGATGCCAGCTTAGGGCCAACTTTGTAAGTGGGCCCTTCTAAAGGTAGCAGCCTTAGAGCTGCTACATAACTCTTTTTAGGATTTTTATGTTGAAAGGAGGGAGGTTTCTTAATTTTTACTCTGTAGAATGAGGAGTAAGGATTTTAAGAATAATATAGAAATTTAGCATGTAGTTTTGAATTCCTGCATTAGAGCAAAATTAAGTGATAGTCTAGTCTTAAATTACTAAATAATGTGTAATAGTAAAAATTTTTAAAGAGTATTTAAAATTTTTCTTTAATATTCTGTATAGTATAAAATGCTTTGCCAAATAGATAACTTTGCTGAACTTATTTGAAGAAATAAGTCAGGAATGTTGTTTGTGTGTGCACACATGCATCTTATGGGTTAAATATTTCTCCTGAATAATTAGTTACTCACTATAAATGTATTTTTGGACCCAGTTTTTCTAGTGATCCTGATATAATGGCATCAGAATCATAGAATTGACTTTGATTTTAGGATGTTTAAAGATTTGGTAGGTCATTTTCATCTTGCTAAAAGAAACAATGAAATAATCTTCCTTATATGTGTGTATGATACTTTAAAAGTTCTGTGAACTTTGAATACATTGTTCCTTTCTGCATGACAACAATTTTGGAAGATAGAATTGTTAATATATTTTCGATCTTACAGAGGAATAAATTACCGGGATTTAGAGAATTTCTGACATGTCATATTAGTTAGTTATAGTATACAGTAAGTTGAAGTTTAGAATTTTAGTCTAGTGTTCATTTCTACAGTACTTTATATAAATGCCTCATTTTATTTTACATTTTATAATTAGTGATAAAACCGGAAATGAAGGACCATGATGTATCATAAAACTTGTATATATTCTTTTTCTTATATGTGTTTAAATATTTCAGCTTTTCTGTGACTTTCAAAATAATGACTTTTTATGAACTGTTAGTTGTATTATTCAGTTGTTACATGTATTCAGATAATAATAGTATTCGTGTTTTATACTTACTAAACATTGTAGCTAACATTCATTAAATGCTTATTCTTTGTAAGTCATTGTGTTTAGTGCTTCATATGTATTATTTAAGCTTCAAAACAATGAAATGCCAGTATATGAGTTTTCCCCCCATATATTTCTTAGTATTTTCAAAGTAAAAATATGTGCAACTTGAGGTTTGGTTTATAATTCTTTCACTTTGTTATTGGCTGGAGACTGTACAAAGGATAAATCTGAAACATTGTTACACAAGTATTTGGATATGGGACTTAGTTTGCCTGACAGTTCCATTCAGTGAATTGTACTTTAGGAATGATCCTTGCATTACATTGAGAAATAAATTAAAAGTCATGGTAGTAAAAAGACTGGAAAGGATCTGTGAGGATTGTATAACATGTATGCTTGTTTCTTTAACTGACTATATATGGATATTTCAAGTGAAGTTGTATTATTGTAGGTGTTCAAAGAAGACTATCCTGTTTCTCTATGTGTTATCCTTTTATAAATAATACAGAATTGTAATTATCTATTGATAACATTTTTGCCTTAAGTCTAACATAAATTTCTCCCTTATAATTTTTGTGATTAAATGCATTCTGAGTCTCTTTTCTCTTGCTCTTGAGGCAATGAAGAGCTCTGTTTACTATTATTTAAGGAATTTTTTAAAAGTACAGATTTAGTTATTAAACTAACCTCACTGTCTCAAGCATCAAGATAATTTCTTAGCTTAAATAATTAGGCCTTTTTCATGAGTAGTATTTAGTTTTCTTCTGAATAAATTTCTTACTATTCCTTTAGTTTTCACTTCTTAAAGAAGACAGAATCCTTAAAAATTTTATGTAGACTCTGTGTGTAGTTGAAGTTTTGTTTTTGCATCAGAAATGCTACAGCTTTGTTTATCTTAGTCCTTTTTATGTTTTGCTTTGCTTTGCTGAGTAATATGTACATCTGGATTTTCGTGTTGTAAGTCATTTGTTCACCAGCTTCTATTTCTGAAATTTGTTCAATAAGCAAATGAAATATTTTTACTACAGTACAGTCTTATTGTGACTTCTTGCTTTTGTAGTAAAGAATATTCTCTGGGATATTTGTATGTTATGTAGCTTTATTTTAGGAGTATCACAGCCTATAGAGTAATATACTTTCATGTCTCTGCATATCAAAGTTATATAGAATTTAGTTGTTGAAAATATACTGTTTATTTGTTCAAAGTAGTCATTTGGTTTTGGATTGTGACATGAATTTCTTATAGTTTACATAAAATCAAGTTTTAGATTTTAATAAAAGGGTACCCAGAGAAATATGACCAGATGTAAGTAAGGCCTTATATATTACTGTTCAGTTTATTGGTATACTTTAAACAGTGTATATATGGGACTGAACATGGTTGATTTTTACATATATAGATCTCATAATCAGTTGAAATACAAACTATATTTAACATATAGTTAAATTCTGTTACTCAGACCTTAACTAATTTTATCTTTTGTTTGTGAGTGAGATTAGATTTAGAGTCATTTTTCTCTAATTTTATTTTAATAATAATATTTTTATTTTAGACAGACTTGAGAACAATTGGCAAGAAATTCCTCCCCAGTGACATCAATGGTGGAAAGGTAGAAAAGGTAAAGAAAAATGTTAACTTCCTAAATTTTGTTAAGTACAGTAAATATGAACATATACTAAACTACTAGAATTATTTTTTGTCAAGGAAGACTGCAACTTCAAAATATTTTGGAGGGAACGAGTCACAAAGTTATCATTTTAGTGACTTCCTATACACATGGAAAATTATTAAAACAAACTTTTAAACTTTTGGTGACTTTTCAGCATTTAAAAAATACTTTTGTTTTAGGAATTATAACTGTGACACTTATTTACATGTTAGACTTATTGGATATTATTGGAAGTCAGAAAGAGGACCTTTTTGTATCTTTTTATTTTAGTATCTGTTACCATGTTTATTTAATGAACTTATTGATATAGGAGTATAAGATTGTGAGAGAATGTTAGGAACAGTTTGGCAAAGCTGTGTATTTGGTTACTGCTGTCATTTTGCATAACATGTGTATTTATGTTATGAATTTTTTCAGTGATTTTTTGAAATACAAGGATACAGTTTTTGGATTTTAGATGCCAACTAGTCAGTCTTTTACTTCTTATTCATTTATATTCAATTTCTTCTTTTAATTTGAAAATAATGCGAACTATGTCAATCAAAAATTTTATATATGCTGTTGCTCACTTTTTGAATTATTAATGAACATCTTTATAATTTGAAATACTTTGAATGTGTATGTTTTGAGTTTGAGTAAGTATTCTTATCATTTTAATACTCATGTATTTAAGATAGTTGCTATACCTTAGATATTTTAAATTTTAGATAATTTCAAAAGATCTATAATGTTATAACATTTTTCACATTTTCTAAATGTTGGTTCTCATATGCGATAGGTGGTAATCATTTAGCTGGAAAGAGAACAAGAGTTTATAATCTGCTCTAGCTTCTGAAGCAGATACTCAGAGAAGAGAGTTCTACAGACTCCTCAGCAATTCATTTTAATGTTTAACAATACTCTGTGTCAGCAAATTTAATTGTGTTTTAATCTAAATTTCTTATGTTGCAACTTCAGTCTGTAATATCCTCTTTATCTTCCCTCAGGGAGATGGAGAGCCTCTGGTTACCTTCCCTTGTGAATAATTGCTCATCTACTTGAAGTCTTGTAAATGTTACTGCTACAGGTTTCTTTTTGCTAAAACCATCCATCTTGATTCCTCTGTTTATTGTGTCTCAGGCATTCTATTCATCTTCATTGCTCTCCTCAGAGTCCTCCAGTTCCTTACATTTCGTTTTCTGGTTGTGGTAGTAGTTCTGACTTGAGTGTGCATCTGAATCAACCTGAGGCCTGGCTACAGCATAGAGTGCCAGCCTCCCACCTCGCCCACTCCCATGTTTCTGACTCCATTGAACTGGGAAAGAGCCTGAGAATTTGTACTTTGAACAGGTTTCTGGGGGATGTTGATTCAGCTAATCTGGGAAACATACTTAGAAAACCTCTAGGGTGTAGAATTCTAAATTAGGCAGCAGTCTTGGACAGGTCTGATGAATGCAACAATTCCTCACAGAAAAAGTAACTAGTATCAAAGCAGTGCCTGCATATCCTTATACTAGTCTATTTAAGAAAACTGGCATTCTGGATTATTGATTTTCCATTTTTTCTTTTTATGTCTTTAAGGATTCTCAGAACCTACCACTGTTAAAAGCTCACAGGGAAAGGTACTGATGAGAGTTTTCTCTGCTTTCTCCAACTTCTCAGAGCATTTTTGCTTCAGAAAATTTTATAAGTAGTCTCTTTAGAATTTCCTTTGAATATAGCTAACAACAATATGATATAACTTATAATATTTGAATCTAGAATTTTCTATACCAAATTTTATCCTTTGAATTATTCTTAATGCTCATGTGGCTTTAGTTTGTACATAAAATGAGAAGATACAAAATAAGCCTTTTTCACATGAAACAGAAATTGAGTGAGTCCTTTTCACATGAAACAAACCTCTGCTCCTCAGATTTGATTATATTTTCCCTTTCATTACCTGCTTCTGATACCAAGTATAATTCTCTTCACAGTATTAGTGAAGATGTTTTGAAAATTAATTTTAATAGAAATTTTAGAAGCCAACCCACTGGAGTTACTCTTTTGTCTTTGGTTAAAATTTCATATATAAAAATGTAACTCCAATGTTTTGGCCACCTGATGTGAAGAACTGGCTCATTAGAAAAGACCCTGATGCTGGGAAGGATTGAAGGCAGGAGGAGAAGGGGACAACAGAGGATGAGTTGGTTGGATGGCATCACCGACTGAATGGACATGAGTTTGAGCAAGCTCTGGGAGTTGGTGATGGACAGGAAGCCTGGCGTGCTGCAGTCCATGGGGTCACAGAGTCAGACACAGCTGAGCAACTGAACTGAACTGCTTTTAGACAATAATAAATGTTTAAGTAATATATATTTTTGACATGAATTACTTGTGCTCTTTGTCTGTAAAGTAAGACTAATACAGTAAAAGTTACTTTATTTGTGCCTTTATCAGAATGCTTTATTACCCAGCACTTTAGCATGTAATTGGTGACAGAATCATTAAGACATGGCTCTAGAAACTAAATTATGTATAACTGTTGTTTAAAATAAATTGTAAATAAAAGTTTTAAAATAAATTTTAATCTGTGTATAAGATAAGCAGAGTATTTGAATAAGTAATCTGCCTGTTCCTTGAGCATGTCAGATTTTGGTATTAAATAATAATATTTTCTAATTTTCTTTTAATAATAATAAAAAAAATGAATGAAAGAACTGAATTACCTAGTGATCTTCCAAATAGAACATGCTGGAAACTAATTTTGCAAAAACTAATTTGAAAATTTAAAGTTTGAGATAGATTAGCTATCTCAGGAAGCAGAGAGAGTTTTGATGAGCTTCAGATACAATGTGGAGAGGGAGAATAAAAAAATTCTGGTAACATACTGAACAGATACAGATTTTAGAATTTTTCAGCTGGACTTAAATCCTTATTCTTCCACTTATTATATTTTTGTGACTTCTGGCAAGTTATTTAATCTTGCCAGATTTTAATTTTCTTATACTTCGAGTGTTATCTCCCTTATGACATTGAAGTATTAAATGAAAACCTGTGTGACTACATTGTAAATGTAGTGCAATGTGTATAACGAATATTGAGCATTATGAGACATTTAGGATGGTGTTTTTGTCCTGGACATCTAAGAATGCATGAATATTTATTACCTGACTTGGGTATCTTATTACTGAGAGATCTCCAAGTGAAAGTGAAAGTCGCTCAGTCGTGTCCAGCTCTTTGTGATCCCATGGACTATACAGTCTATAGAATTCTCCAGGCCAGAATACTGGAGTGGGTAGCCTTTCCCTTCTCCAGGGGATCTTCCCAACCCAGGAATCAAACTGGGGTCTCCTGCATTGCAGGCGGATACTTTACCAACTGAACTGTCAGGGAAAAAGGGAATCCAGTAAATGAGGTGAGGTGAGTGGATGCTTCATTATTGACTGTGTTTTGGCCCCAATCCCTAATGCAGATCTTCATTGCTTGAGCTAAGTTGATCTTAGTACAATGGAATCAAAGTAGGCCAAAGTCCTTCTCTGACTATTTCCACTAAGTTTCATGCCTGCCTGTGATATTACTACTTCTAAGAGCGAGGAAGCCAAAGGAAAAAGAACTGGAGAGCATTTGCCCCAGCTTTAAGAAGCTAACACTTAATGAGCAAAAGAAGAGAGAAGGCTGTCTTTTTACGAGCTACTTCCATTAGTCAGTTGTGGGCCGTTTTAAAGGGCTGTAGTCCTGTGTCTTCCAGCCCTCTTGGAAGCATATTTATTAGGTCCAGGGCTCCATACAATGTACTAGAGATTCCCCAAGACAGAGGAATAGTAATGCTTTTTAGAGGTAAATTAAAGGAATGTAGAGAAGAGTCTTCAATCTTCCTCTCCTGAGAAGTCAAAAGTAAATGCTTATGATGATGCTGTGTATTGTTATTATCATAATTAATAAGACTTAGATATGGCATTTTCAGCATTTGGAAAAGAGACATGGAGAAGGCTATGGTTTGATAAGAGAGATGGAAGGACTATAGTAAGGAGAAGAAAGTTAATCCTGGAACAATGAATCGACATCTTTTTTGCTCTTAAACTGGGAACTTCAGAAGGGCATTGTTACCTAGAGTTTGAAACTGAAGTTTTAATTCTGTATCACTGATTATTTGGGGAGGAAGTTAGATGGCAAAAATTGCAAGTTAACTTTGTTTTTAATTAATGTAATAGTTTTGTGCACATTCTTTTGTCTTCCCTCCCATTCACTTCTTAATAGTATTTTGCAGTTCAGATGCTTTCTCAGTAAGGTTGCTCATAACCTTGATGCAGGGGTTTCAGATAAATTTAAAAAGTGGTGAGAGTGAGAAGATGAAACTTTTCTCCAGGCTTCTAAGTCTACGCTAGATTTTCCTGAAGGCAGTTTGTGTTTAATTTTTAGGCCATAAAATTTTTTTAGCATGTGCCAGGGACGCCATATACTGCAATTTTTGAATTTTTCAGGAGAGGCTTTCTAGATATGACAGGGCCCTAGAATATTTAGCTTCTCAGCTAAAAATCATGGAAAAAAGTCATGACAGAAAGGAAGTAAAACATACACTTCCTATAAAACTGTTTAATATTTTTTGTATTCTTTTCCAAGTTTAATATTTTGCTTATAGTTATTTTCATAGCTTTGCCTTTGAACCAAGGTGTAGAAGTTAATTATAAAATATAGGTTAATGTAAAAATGCTTTATCACCAGTCCAGGTATGTGAGGACTTTTATGCTTTATTGTGGAACCCTAACAGGAAAGACTTTTCAGATCTGTGGGGTTTTTTTTCATCTAGGTTCTAGGACTGACAGTTTCTATGTGCATTTTTAAAGACCTAATTTTGGGGGTAAAAGTGACCTCCTTGAAGCCTCAGCAACACCAACATCAACCACAAGATGGCTTCACTGGTTTAAAATTCAAACTGAATGCCCTCTCACTGTCAGTATAGAACTTTGATGTTTTTATAAAGAAAAATA